TGGTAGCACATGTTGTAGTCCCAGCTGCTTGGGAGGCTGAGATGAAAGGATTACTTAAGCCCACAAGTTTTAAGACCAGCCTGGACAACATAGTGAGACCTTGTCTTAAAAACTGAAGTCTGGGGTGGATACCTTTGTTAGAGCCTAACACAGGTTCCCTTCCTTGCTGGAAGGAGGCTGAGAAGGCAGGTGGCCGGCCTTGTCAGTGGGCAGTGATGTCGACCAGACATTACAGCCCAGTTGACAGGTTGGTGTTTCATATTTCGGGCAGTCATAAAGATGGACATATTTGAGGTGAACATTTAGAGTCAGGAGAAAGTAGATTTTAACTGTTGGAAAGAGTGGACACATATAGGTAGAAGTTGAAGAGAATATGGCATTCAGGTCCAGTGGAAACAAGTACAACCGGATTAAAGGGTGTGTTCTGGGAAAGTGGTGTGAGAGACTGAAGGAATAGGGTGGGATAAGATTAAGGGTTACTTTAAAAGTCAGGGGGAGGAATTTAAGTTTAATATGGGAACTTGGGAGCCAGTAAAAGTTTTTGAACAAGAGAGAGTCCTAAGAGGAAGTGGTATTTAAGGATTACTAATCTGGTAGCACTAGTAATTTAGAGGTGGTATAGTAGATTGGGAGTGCAAAAGAAACATAAAAATTGGATTTAAGAGAGAATTTGAAGGAAAAAAGTCAATAGGATTTTATGAAGAGAATGAAGTAGAGGCTATTTCTAAAACGGCTGAGCCAGAATTCTTTCATTCAGATTAGAAAGTAGGAAAGCAGATTTTAGTTTTGGAATTGTTGAGTTTGAGGTTGAAGGTATTTGACTGAAAGTGAACCCTGTGCAGTTGGACATGGAGAACAGCAGTGGAGGTAGAAAGGCTCAGAAGAGGGTGGAATGAGGTACTGAGCCCCCGGCCGTAGGCCAAGTAGATAGACTGTCTTGATTTCCTGTGGTACCTATGACCCAGAGCCTGTACCTTCTGCTTCAGCAAGCTTCAATTCTCCCACCTTGGAACACATTGGTCCTATTATTGTTTTATACATTTTTCTTCCTGCTCCTCTATTATCTTTAGAAAGTAAATTATTAACACATGATAGGCTTTTCTTGGTTGTTTATTAATAGTTTTAAATACAAGGAAAATATGCTGAAGCTCAGGCTTTGCTTTTTATTTGTATGTAGAAGTTGTTTTAGGGAATGGTGGTACATGCCTGCAATCCCAGCAGTTCAGGAAGCTGAGGTAGGAAGATCGAGATTTTGAGGCCAACCTGGGCAATTTATATAAGACCTTGTCTCTAAATAAAATATTAATTTATTTATGTATTTTTTAAGACAGGGTCTTGCTATGTAATTCAGGCTGGTCTTGAACTCACTATGTAGCCCAGGTTGGTCTTGAACTCATGGTGATGCTTCTGACCCTCAGCTCCTGAGTGCTGGGATCACAGGTGTGTACCACCATGCCTGGCTCAAAATAAAACTTTTAAAGGGGTTAACTAGGAGCTAATTCAGTGGTAAAATGCTTGCCATAGGCATGAGGCCTGGGCTCAATCTCTAGTGCTACAAACAAACAAATAAACAAAAAATACATAAAATTGTACAAAATAATGTGATTTTTTTTTTTTTGGTTTTTTGAGACAGGGTCTCACTATGTAGTTGAGACTGACCTGGAACTCACTATGTAGCTCAGGCTGGTCTCGAACTCACCGAGATCCTCCTGGCTCAGTCTCCTGAGTGCTGGGATTACAGGCGTGCGCCACCACACCTGACTCAATGTGATGTTTTGATACATGTATACATTGTATAATATTTAAATTAGGTTAAACATAACTGTCTTCTATCTCTTCAAGCGTTTGATTTTTTTAAAACGATTTTGCTATGTAGTTCATACTAGCCCAGACTGGTGATCCTCCTGGATTATAGGGTGTGTCACCATGTCCAGGTTTCTCTTCAAACATTTATCTTTTTTTGGTATTGGGAATCGAACTCAGGACCTTGCTCTTGAGAAGCAGGTGGTGAAACCACTGAACTAAATCCCTGGCCCTTTATCATTTCTTTATAATGAAAACTTTTATACTGTGCCATAGCATATCAGAGCTTCTTGTTCTTTTTTTTTTTTTTAGCTTTAATTGAGTTTATTGGTACATTTTAGGGATATAGTACAGTTGCATTCATTGTTGGGATCTTGTACCTCTACATGACAGGTCTTGGTTCTCATTTTTTCCCCTTGTCCCTGCCCTCCCTGCCCTCCCCTCACCCCCTCCCCATCTACAAACACTTTATTTCCATCTTTTCATTATCTCACATTTTTTTCTTTTCCCTATTACCCTTCCCCTATCCATCCCACCTTCCCTACACCT